CAGCCCAATCACTATCACTAAAGGCCTTGAGTGATAAAGAAGAAGATCTTGGAAAGAGTATACCTTGGCCACATGATAATTTGATATACCTGAGGACCTTGTGAGCTGCCATCAAGTGTTGCTGTTTGGGAGCTGCCATGAATTGGCTAAGGCACTGTATGCTAAAAGAGATATTTGGTCTTGTTATAGTAAGATACAGTAACCTTCCAATTAACCTCCTATACTCACTAGCATCAACAATAGGATCAGAAGCATCAAGAGCAGTAAGTTTTAAATTAGTATCCATGGGTGTTTGACTGGGTTTACAATCAAGGTAACCAGTGTCATGCAAAATATCTAAAGCATACTTCCTTTGACAAATGTGAATACCAGAATGGGACCGAGCTACTTCAATTCCAAGTATATACTTTAAAGAACCCAAATCCTTTATTGTAAAATAATTATCCAGATGGGTTTTAATAGCAGTAATTTCAGAGAGATGATCACCTACCAAAATGATGTCATCAACATAAACAAGTAATGCAAGAAAAGAAGTAGTGCTCTTTTTGACAAACAAGGAAGAATCAGCAGTAGATTGGGTAAAGCCATAATCAATCAAGCAGGATTTTAATTTACAAAACCACTGCCTTGATGCCTGTTTTAAACCATAGACTCTTAGTGAGTTTACAGACTCTGTTGTCATTTGGAGCACAGTAACCAGGGGGTGGGGTCATGTACACATCCTCATTTAAATCACCATGTAAGAAAGCATTATTCACATCAAGTTGGTGTAAATGCCAATTTTTAATGGATGCTAATGCAAGAAGTAACCTGACTGTGGTGATTTTAGCAACAGGTGAGAATGTGTCATAATAATCTATTCCTTCCTCTTGAGTATAACCTTTGGCTACTAATTTAGCCTTATATCTTTCTATAGAACCATCAGATTTGTACTTTACTTTATACACCCATTTATAACCAATGCAATGCTTACCTGGTGGCAGATCAGTGAGAAACCATGTGTTGGTTTTCTCCAAGGCAGTCAACTCCTTTTGCATGGCTTCTTGCCATAAAGGATTAGTTGATGCTTGTTTATATGTCTTGGGTTCTGTGACTTGAGAAACAGAGGCAGTAAAGCATGCATGATCATATGATAAATTGTCAGTAGACAAGTAGGAGAAAATGGGGTATGATGATAATGTTCTAGACTGTGGAGAATGTGTGTCTTCTGAAAAAGAAGCAGGGTGCTGAGTCATGACAACATTGGAGGATGATGGCAAAGAATGATTATAGACATTTAAATAGGAATGGGTAGTTCTTTTTCTGGAAGATCTTCTGAGAGTGGGAGAAGAGTTGTTAGAGGAACTGGGAATAGGAGTTGTTTGAGTAGGTTGTGTTGTTTGAGGGATGGGTGAGTTATCTGGCAAAGAAGCCTGTGAAGGGATGTGATGAGGAGTCACAGAAGAGGGATTGCCATCAAATATAAAAGGAGAAGGGGTGTGGAATATGTGATTTGAAGAGTGAATAGGCTGAGTATTTTTAAAAGGAAACACATTCTCATAGAAAACCACATGTCTAGAAATTAATATTTTCTTAGTTTCCAAGTTGTAAAGCTTATATCCTTTACAACCCAAAGGGTAGCCAAGAAAGATGCATTTTGATGCTCTGGGTTCAAATTTATGTCTATGAGACTGGATAGTGGATGAGTAACATAAACAACCTGTTACCCTTAAATGATCATAAGATGGTACACTTTTAAAAAGGATCTCATATGGAGATTTATTTTGTAAAAGAGGTGTAGGGATTCTGTTGATGATATGAGCAGCTGCAAGAATGCAATCAATCCAAAAGTGAAGTGGAAGATGTGCATGAAATAATAATGCTCTTGCTACTTGAAGAAGATGTTGATGTTTTCTTTCAACCCTTGCATTTTGTTGTGGGGTTTCAACACAACTTGTTTGATGAATGATTCCAGTAGTTTGAAAAAAATCTTTTAAGAAAAACCCAGTGCCATTATCAGACCTTAGGAATTTTATCTTTTTGTCAAATTGAGTTGAAACCATGTTGTGAAAATGATTTAAATGCAGCTGAGTGTCAGATTTAGCAAGTAGAGGGTAAATCCATGTAGTTCTGCTGAAATCATCAACTATTGTCAGAAAAAAATTGTAACCAGCATAAGAAGGGATAGAAAAGGGTCCCCAAACATCACAATGTATTAATTCAAAAATATCAGTAGCAATAGAAACACTTGGTGTAAAAGGTAATTTCTTTTGTCTTGAAAAGTGACAAATAT